AGTTTATTTTGAGGTGGTCACATTAGCAATAAAGTTGTTACCATCAACATTTGGATACATTACTTAATAATACTTATTACATAATTATTTATTGTTTAATGATATACTAGTTACATGAATAATAATACAAGACTGACGAAAGAGATGTATCATAATTATAATGAATTTAGAAGGTGTGTCTGGAAAAGTTAAGTACATTCTGGATACTGTTGGAATCATTTAGGGTCGTCTTCATAACAAATTTAACACGTTGACCGCAACGAGAATTTTGAGCGTTTCGTATACTACTTGATTCTTTCGTAACGAAAGCAAATGGTATTGGAATTGGTTATTAATGGTTTGGTATCATAGTTTTTTAATTAAACTATTATTTAGTTACTTATGTTATTGAATATTTGGAATCGACATCAGTTTCCTTCATGTAATTGTTATTAAATATTTTAGAAGCTCCGTTCATTGCTAACCATCGTTGCGGTCAATGTGTTAATGTTACAGTTGTTTCTTGTAGAGGAGAAACGGCGGCAATTCATTAGGATGTGTTTATTGCTTTGAGGTATTTCGTGAAGTATGCATTTAGCTGGAGGTTGCTTTGTTAGCAAATATTCGTGTGTTAATCTCGAAAGGCTGATCGGATGCGGGTGAGTGCGGCTTGATCTTTCCTGGTTAACACTGGCATATTTGGGTTTTCTTGTAAACTAGGTCTTACTTCATGGAGTTTAGTTGGACGAGAGTTGAAATATGTGCGGTTCTAAAATTCTCTGATTGCTTCTTTGATGGAAATTTTGGCATCGTCAGGATTTATGGAGATTTCTTCGTACTAATTTAATTTGGTTTCTCGCTCTACGTGTTCAGTTTTAACTGAATCAGTCTGAAAATTATTCGAGTAAAGAATTCGTCGTGCAATGGATTCATTTTATCACGTTCTTATGGGTAAATAATTTCAGATTATACAGTATATACGTACTTTTAGAACATATAGAAATGTATTTACAGTAAACATCACCACAAATGAAATTTGTTGAAAATTAAGACCATTATTTACGTATCTATAATAGCACCACAGCGTCAGATGTCCTCATCCTTAAATTATATTATCAAAAGAAAGATATAGTATAAGTTAAGGAACAAAATCAGAAATAATGAAATTTTTTCATAGCAAAACCAGTATGTTCCAATATTATTTGTGAACATCGTGATGTCTTCAGTTGTTCGTAAACATTCATATAATGTAATCTCTTCTATCATTTTGATACATGTAAAAGAAAATGTACCTCCTAATCCGATATATACATGTACAGATATTATGTAAAACATACATACATGTATACATGTTTATCCTGTGTACCCCGACTTACGCCATTTTCGACTTACGTCGCCCACTCTAGAACTAATTAGAACGTAAGTCCGAGACCTCACTGCACC